TGTACGCACGATGGATCCATAGTGCATGTCCTTAAAGCAAGTTTTACAAGTAATTCATAATGAATATTTTATTGTCATATTTTCTAATCAATTATTTATAATTTATAGTATAATAAATATGGATGGGATAAATTTGAAAAGAATTTTTTAAACTCTGACCGAATAGATAATCTCTGGGATCTTCAAGTTAGTTTATTATTATTATTATTACAATCTATTATGATTTTCGCTAAATATTACAATTTCATATATTAGCGAAATCTTTTAAAAAATGGATGGTCACTATTAAAGCCTGGTGGAATTCTTGTATATAGTACATGTAGTCTTTCATATAAACAAAATGAAGATGTTATTGGATGGTTTCTTTCACATTTTGCTAATTCCAAATTAGAACCTATCCCAAATATAAATAACTTGACGGTAGCACCATTGAAAAAGAGTAAATACGTAGAGGTTGACATATCGAATGCTGTTAGATTTGATCCGATTTATTCTAACACATCTGGTTTCTTTGTAGCTAGAATTAGGAAAAATGTGTTGAATGATATTTAAAAGTGTTTTAATATATAAATGCTGTGTATAGATCAATATACTTCTCGCTAATTTAATAAAGTAATTGTCACATCCAAATAAATAACAAGACAAATATCATGTAATGTGTCTTGAAAGCTTTAACAAACATTGACAATAATTATACGTAACAGGTAATGATAACTGATAATACAACAGTACGTACACACGGGATTTACTAGAGGCGCAGACATATTGTCTTAATTAGGTCGTAACCTAATTACCTCAATAAAAATAATCTGTTTTAAAATGGGTCGTAACTAATTACGACAATATGTCTGCACCTCTAGGATTACTTAATCATAATGGAAGTTCGTTTTGATTGGCTATTTATTTATAAGATATTGGTTATTTATTTATAAGATATTGGTTATATTTTTTTCATCGGAGTTAATCCATGTGCACATGAATGACACTAACTCGCGATGAAAAAAATTTCCTGTTATTTATATCGATATTATTGTTTGTATTATATGACCGCGTGATGTTTTTTCCTTGATATTTTGACGACAAAAATATTAAGGCAAAAAAAATTCACATAATTTTCACTATCATTATCATCATCATATTTCATGTTATTAAAATATCGGTAAATAAATTTGAGCTCCGTATTACGTACATGATTTTGGATACCGAGATCTTGGTTTAAGATACGAAGTTGACTTTTAACTATATATCGATATTGACTAACTTCTAATAAACGAATAGTTATTTATTATATATTAGAAAATAATAATTACTCTGTATCAAACATCATAATAAACACTGTATACCATCTTTTTGTAAGCAAATATATTAAAGAAAGTGCGACTGGTCTTAGTAATAAACTTTGTTGCTTGGGTTAGAATCAAGATTATATAGAAGGATATATAGAAGGATATAGTGAATATCAAAAATTTCATAAATAATTTTTTTTTTTTAGCACACAGAAAACGATTTCATAGAATTATTAAAAATATTCATATAGATTAAAAGGTAATTAAATTGAACAAATTCAATACACGCGAAAAAATAAACACATTTTACTATTACCAATAAACTTACTTATTAATTATAAAATTTAAATAACGCAATGAATTTGTATCTCATGTCTATATCTTTAAGCAATACAGTGATACCACATGTATCTATCAATACCCAAGTTTATATATCCGTTAACTCTATATATAACTTTAAAATTAGTTTATAAAGAGTTTTATCTAAAAGCTTACAGTGAACGTATTAATAGTTTACTTTACCGTTTCTTGGCATTTAGTACTTACATATAGTTAGTAATTGTCCGAAACGTAGCGGATAACTTACAATGGATAACTAAGGAATTGTTTATTTAAATTACATATGGGCGCTCGAGAGGAAAACCAGTAAGTAAAATCAATCGCGATCAGTGTTTTAACATGTCAATGATGACAATACCAGATAATATCTGGTATTGATAGTATATATGTGATTAATTACGTAAGATCACAATTCTTCAGGGGATAAAAATTTTATTTACTGGCTTTCCCTCTCGAGAAAGTTTTATAAAGAATCTGTTTATCTAGTGATAATAATAAATATGAATGTATTTGTCTTCTAAGTGAAGTACTTCAGTTTTGAGATTATTTTAACATAGTAAATCTTAAAGTTCTTACGAAAAAAAAAAAGTACTGTATAAACAAGTTACCCAGGCAAATTGATTTACATAACAGATAAGTCAATCATATGAACGTAACGTTACACCTACCTTATTTTGATTTTCGCCACCTGTGATTTATATAAATAAGCGATTGTTGAATTGTTTTCCCGATCTACAAAAAAATGTAAAACAAACTAAAAAGCTTAATAAACTACTACGCACCAGAAAAGAGGTTTTTGAGAGGAGCAATAATAGGAAGTAAACCAACATGGTTCGGAAGTTATTTGTTTACCCGTATATTGACACTACCAATTAATTTTTTAAAAAAGATTCTAATAATAAATAAAACACGCAATTCAGAAAAGTTACATACGAAGTGGAGAAACTACTGGAAGTAAATGATGAAGCACGTGATATGAAGAAAATACAAAAAGTACAAGACGTAAAGAAGATATTAAAAGTAAATGTTAAAACACACTCGACAGTTAACGCTAAAACGCACGTGACGTGGCAAAACTATTGTAAACGTTAACGCGGTGAAGGTACTAGAAATGTTGAAACACTCGGAACTAGAGGACCTGCGTTCCGAGTTGCAAAACACGTCCTCCGAGCTAAGAAAGCTGGAGGATGTGAATATAATTTTATATTCCGAATTAGAAAAGGTGAAAAACGAAAAAAAGGAAGCGGAATCCGCAAAACGAATAGCGGAAGAAGAATACACGCGTTATATAGAAGCCACTAAAAGTAAGTGTCGATTAATATTAATGTGTCTCGCAACTAATACTATTTTGGCAGTTAGAGGTCTACTGGTCTGAAAGAGGATCAGTTAGGTGCCTTCCTCGAGCTGTTAAAAATAGTATTACTGTATATATTGAATGCTTTCGATCGCTCACCTAGCACTTCTGGCGTATCTCTATATGCAA